CCGTTTTGTATTTTCTCCCATTCTCTTAGTTTTTACATTTTAACCAATTTTTATAACATAACTTTTTATATTTTTATCTTTTCTTGCACATTATTATTCCACCACTAACTATTTTTATTTATAAATTTTTTTTTATTCTCCAAGCACATTTTTTGCTACTTGTTTTAAGTGTTTGTTACTTGATCCAACATAACATTTGCTTCTTCATGATCATCCCAAATTTTGAAATCTTGAATCTTACTCATAAAAATAATTTTATTTGTCTTTTAGGTTCTCCCATCTAATTCTATGATGATGAGTCCTAATATTCTTTATTTTATAATTCATCATCTTAAAATTTAGAACTAATAAACGATGTTGGGTACTTAAATTCTCACTTGGAATGAATTTACAATCTTTACAATATCTACGATCTCTTCTTTTCATAAGAAAATAATCAATTTGTGTTTTATTAGATCCATTCTTATAAGTAATAAAATGTTCATCTATTTTCTTGAATAAAGTATTAGTAATAACAAAATCATACGCTAAAGCAAAATCTAAAATAGCTCTACCTTCTTCATTAGTTACTCTAAAACCGTAGCCACCATGAGTATATCTGAAGTCTTCTACCACTCTACCGACATGTCCATTTAAATCTCCTCTAATAAAAATTCTTTCTTCAAGAGGTATCATTTGTATTAAGCCTTCTAAGTCATTCCAAAATTTCTCTTTAGACCCTGTATCTAAACCTACTTGAGTAGCATAAACACTTAAAATATTAAAAATCTTAATATCAATGATAATCTTAAGAGTTATAATTCTTTTACCAACTCTATTAATTTTTACAACATTATCTTTCAAACTCTTATCAATAATTGCACCTACACCATTTCTAGTGCGACTCTTACCAGAATACCAAAGTTTAAAACTTAAATTATCAATCTCCTTAGTCTTTTCTCCAACGCATTTAGTTTTTTGAATCATAAGATATTAATTTCCTATGAATCATAATATCAACTAATTTCATTAATTTACTATTGAGAGTACCTATATTTCAAGATCCTATCCTAATATTAGTTTCATTAGTTTCATGGACTAACTTCTTTACCCGTATTCGTCCGTAATGTGGGAACCCTTGCTTATTTGACACTATACTCAGACGCCGATGTAGCAGCCCTTGCACACTTTTCACTGTATTCGGGCTATACAACGTATCGCTTCTAGGGGACGCCCTAACACTTACACAATGATCAAAAGTTTTCATGCCATGATTTTTTTCGACAAGTTTTATGCTGGCTGGGGGCTACCTCACGAAAACCCCTACCTAACGAAACCCTCCACTTTTCACCTCCGGACTTGGGACCAACAATGACAGTGTTAAATTCTATTATAGACAAAGATAAAATATGTGAATTTTGAAAATTGGGTTCTTCTTTTTGGATATTTTTTTTCCTATCGAGTTTAAATGAATTGAATTGAATTTTATTTTGTTACGAGGTGTGGATTCTCCATAAGAGCAAGCCTCTATGTTTAATTATATCATTTGAGAGTGGTCATCTCATAAGAAATTTTTTTTTTGTTAGACATGAAAAATATCTTGATTTTAGTGTTATATTCAAGGATATGACCTTGGAATTAAGAAGTATTAGTTAAAGTTTGGAATAAATTTCAGTAAGGGATCCAAATGAGGAAGAGTTGGAGTATTGGCTAGCTAGGAGATTAAAAAGTGCCCAGTCTATTCCAGATTGGACTTTAATACTTTTTTGAGGTTTTATTTATGTTTAATTTGTCCAATTTTATTTAAATTTATTGACTTATGTGTACAAGATAACATTGGGGTATAGCTAAAATAAGATGGCTTATAACATAACAACTAAGTACATCAGCCTCGAAATCCTAGGTCTCAATTTGAGGCTCATCACAAGGGTAAAACCTCGAACTTAAATTTAATGCAATGATCATGAGAGACTTATAACTTGAAACATTGCATAATACTAAGAAAGCTCGACGTACAGTTTTGCAATCTTGTCTAGAAACGATTACTATTTAAATTCACCTAAGAATTTTGAAGTTGATGGAATTGGCTCGATGCAAATGCACAATATATTTAGTTTTATTGAATTAAGAACTTTGTCTCAGAACTCAGCAATTAAAGCTAAGCAATCCTATTATGTTGGTGCTAATACTGACTTTCTAATGCAAGTTTCTTTAATTATTTGTCCTCAGGATAAGAAAGAAAATTTAAATCTTTCATTCGACTAATGAAGCTTGGATAAGCATTCGCTGGATTAATGATCTTTATTAAGCATTTTCTTATGAATTAGACAATCAACCAAATACTGTTCATCAGCGGTTCTTAAGGAGGTTGAAGTTAATCATATTGAACATATTGCTTAAATTATACCGTGCAAGTTTTATATGAAATCAATTCCAAATCATTATAGGAAAAACAAATGAATGCAGAAGAGATCGTGTAATTTTTAAAGCAACTGATACCGGAATTGACCCAAATCATAATAGGAAAAACAAATATTATTACCAAAAATAGATAAGCGGTTACAATCAACACCTTTAAAAGGAAAAATATAATAACATGACACCTGAAAATTTGAAAAAGCAACATACACGACACAAATAATCAAACTAGGGTGGGATCTCGGGATAGTGGTGGTGATCGGAGAGCTTAAAAGTGGCGGTAAGGTGGGAGCGCGGAGCAAGTGGGCGGATATGACAACGAAACAATAGGTTCTTGCTGTCCAGGGTGGAAACAAGGTGGAATTTGGGTTCCCGCGGGCTGAAACAACAAATGTGTCTGGGGGGCGGAGTAGGAGGGTCGGGATAGTGGGGAGGTGGCAGGGATGTGGCCCGAGATCATCGAGACATCAGTTGGTGGGAAGGGGAGAGGATTTATGATAGCCAGAACAGTGATGACAACAAGAGGGAGCGTTGGAATAGTAAGAAATATGGGGCTAAAATGCAAAAACTGCAGAAAGAGTAGCGAGGCAACTGTTCCGGGCGGCTGCAACAGGAAAAAACGGTGGGAATCAGTGTGGGAGGATGCAAAATGGGAATAAAGTAGATTAACACCTTAGGACAGAGGTACAATCAGAGCACCACCCAATTCCTCGGATACAACCCTCGAAGTGAAATGGACGCCGACGACTGTCCTAAACAAACTCACACCAAAAACTATTCTCGTGGTACTGCAGCAGTTACAGTACTACGATACTTTGTTGCGGCAAGCTCCCGCGCCAATCTACTGGGGTTGGGGGAGTTTGCTCTCATTCGGCGAAGCGTCTATCTTCTCATTGTTTGACATACAAGTCAGTCATGTTGAAGGTAGCGTAAACGTTGTATTCTTTCGATAAATCAATTTGTTCGTGTTGGCATTCCAAAACACATCTTGATAGAATACGTTCGTCCTGATTTAACATAATCATAAATTGAACTGTACGTGGATCAGTATTCTCACGAAGTAAGTCTCAAGCCATTAAATATGTAATTAGTTTCTTCCACTCTTCGTACTCATTCGAGTATATCTGATCAACAAGCATGTAAGTAGGAATCAACTATTGGAAGAAATCTATGGCAGGCTGGACCACACTGAAAGGATCCAAATCCCATTGAAAATTTCTCTTTCTCATAAAGCCCCAAAGATAATTTTCAAAACGGTGGTTCATACCCCCAGTTTGGACATCTGATGATAGGCATACTGCTGAACTGAATTTAATATCTGAATAACTCCATGATATAATCTTCCAGACATGGCACGAAAAGGCCTCATTCCTGACATGATGGATCTACCTCATTAATGGCAACTCAGGAAGTAACCTATATATCTGAAAAGTTTGAATTTTTTTATATGGGATTGTTCTGTGTCTGATATTGACTTTTAAAACTTATGACCCTTTTAGATATCTAATACCAGTCTTCTTAACGCTCCTCTTAATGTCTGCAAAACGACAGCTCGAGGCGCCACAATCTCATACTCTGCATGAACGCTCATTACTTTGGACTCACTACCTTCTATAATATTTACTGTCAACTTAGCTGGAGTCTCTCTCATGGGTTCAACTGGTATTGCTGGCGTCTCTTCCTCGTCGGCTTGAAGTTGAGAATCGTCTCTGAAATGGTTTTCTCTTGGAGCACTATTTATTTCTTCAGGTGCTACTTGACCTGTCAAAGAGATTATTCTCCTGCTTATTCAACATGATTCTATTTGCTTAAATTAGTGACAATTGATACACTTCCTGACAAGGACGGATTTTGGCGTTGCCCTTTGTTTTCCCTTTAGAACTAATGTCTCCTCAATCGTGGTCAACTTAGATGTATCCTTGGATGTAACCTGACCGTAAGATCTTGGGGTTGAGTTTCCCTGTATAACGTGGCGGGCTTCCAGTGATGCGGTCTGTCCACCTTTGAAGCCGGGTTCTGAAGATCCAATTTGTAGTGAGCGATTAGAAAATATCACTATGTTGGTCCAGGTAGTAATTTTATAATTTCCTTCCTGCCAGTGTAGGTACTGCAGATTATGCCACCAAAATAATGCACTATTCTTAAGCTTGCTGGAGAGTAGTTTCACCATTTCGTTCGGTGGGACATACCGACACTCAAAGAAATATTCCAGGGCTTTGAGCCACTCGATGAACTCACTCTGATCCACGTGGTCGTCGAAATATGACAAATCCACCGTTACTTTAAAATCTAGATTCTCAGATATTTCAGGTAATATCATTGTGGTAGAGTTCCTTCATTCCTGGAATACACATGCTGGAAGAGATTCTCTACATTCCTTTAATCTAGCAAGTCACCATTGTGGCTATAGGGGGGTGACCTATCCGGATTTCCTCTCTTGCAAGCAATAAACCTCAGTTGTAGTTGGCGGTTTTCTCACTGTATATCCTTTCTAGAAATCCCTTGAACTCTTCTTTGTGAATTTCTCATTAACAAGATCACATTATTTTTCCTCAATCAAGCTTCCGACGATTATCTCTTGGATGTGGGTGGGTGGAAGGATGTTTGTAATGGTGATGTAGGGTGAGAAAGAAAAATTTTAGTTAGAGATAGGGTTGGGTATTAGTGTATCCCCTAGGATAATCCTATTAACCCAAATCACGATAGGAATAATAAATATTTTTATTGAAAGCAAATAAGTGGCGACAATCAACACAATTAAAAGGGAAAATACAATCACACGACACCTGAAAATTTGAAATAGCAACACACACATGACTCAAATAATAAAACTAGGGTGGGATCTCAGAGTGGTAGTGGTGATCAACAAGGGTTTGGAAGGTGGCAGGAAGGTGGGAGTGCGGAGCAAGCCGGAGGATATGACAACGGGACAACAAGTCCTTGCTGTCCGGGCGGCAACAATGTGGAATTTGGGTTATTGGCGACTGTAACAGCGAATATGTGGAAGGGAGGTGCTGCATGAGGGTTGGGACAGCGGTTAGGTGATAGGGACGTGGTTCGGGATCACTGGTACAACAGCCGGTGGGAAGGGAAGAGGATATATGGTGGCTGGAACAGTGTTGGCAGCAAGCGAGAGTGAGGGAATTGCAGGGAGCGTGGGCTGCAATGCAGAAATTGTAGGAAAGATAGCGTCAACAACTGTTTCGGATGGCTGCAGCAGGGAGCCTTGTGGGGAGGATGAGGAAAGGGAATGGGGAAAATAAACACCATCTCGGGAGAGGAATACAACAGGAATACTGTCCAAACCCTCAGATACAACCTTCAAATGGAGAAAGCGGACGCCAGCAGTTGCACTAAACAATCATATGGAAAACTAACTTCTAAAACAACACACACACACACATATATGTATATATATATTGCAGGCAAATCAATGAAGTTACTCAAATGGTCTTCTGATTTTGACCCAAATCATGAAACTCTCACTGTACCGATATGGTTTAGTCTGTCGGTCAACTTTTTTTCTCGATTGATTAATTATGAAAATATGGTATATATGAAAATAATTTTTGAGCATCATTGGGGATCCTTTGAAGTTAGATTTGTCTACTTTCAACCTAACCAGACCCTCGATGACCATAATACTTGTGGAAAGGGATATTACTTTACCTGATGTTATTGAAGTCAGGCTGAGCACAAAGGCTGAGCACAATCCATAATGGTTATTGACAACAAATAATCATGGAACACAGACCCCCATATTGTACCCACTATAAGATGTTTGGCCATATCCTTGATAAATGCCACAAGTTTCATCCAAATTTGAAATCTAAGGTTCAAGTGAATAAGGATGGGTCTAACCCCACTGCTCTGAATATTTTAGTTCCACCTGGCGAGTATACTACCAGACAAGAGGTGTCTTTTGCCCCTGACGACCTCCTCATGACACTGCTGTTGCTGTTGCTGTTCCTGTGAGTGATGTGATGCTGGAACCTTCAAACCCAATAGAAAACAATACTGATGGACTATTACCTACAAATGATAGTGTTCAAACTGATAATCAGAAGATTGAGAGCTTTGTAACTCCGCTTCTTCAGGAAATATCCGAAGTAGAGGAAACTCATACTTCACATATACTAGCACCTATTGTGAGTACTACGGTTGGTATTTCTTCTGCTTCAGCTCTACCACCCCATCAGACTGATTCTTTGGAAGATGAATGACAAGTCTATTCCAGGAGGAAGAAGAAGAATGGAAGCCGATCCAGCTCGGGAACCTGTTGGATGATACATTGGTTGCTACCGGCAA